CAAACACGGCATTGCCTAGCAGGATTCTTCCTCTTGGAATGTTCATTCTTCACAATTTTCACGAGGGTATGTTTCTGCACATCACTTGAGAGTTGCCCTGAGGGGTCCACATGAGGCCTTCGTGGGGTGGAAGTTGAAGGGCCCAGTCGTACTAAGGCTTTGTGTGACCTTGGTTGTGCCGCCACCATCTGGACTGTAGCCCAGGCCTTTGCCACATTCATCAGAAATGCTTTGTATTTCAATTTTGAATCAGAATTTAGATTTTTTTAGATTTGTTGCTGTCCCCGCAATGTTACTACGCACAATGTTATTACCTGCATTATCGTCGGAGCTACTGTCACTTTTACTGTCTGTGGCCACAATTCTTTGTTGTCCCCTGTCACTGCCACTGTCTGAGTCACTATCACTACGCTTCTCACAAGGCACGTCAAATAGCTCATCGGAGAACAATTCATCCTTGATCCATATTGCACTACTAACTTACTGCCAGGTACATACAGCTTGAAGATGAACAAAGGTATTTTCCTTTGGAGTGGGATAGGAAAACATGAGGTCTTGTTACTGACTACTAAGCAAACATTTGGGAGATCTATTATGCACCAGGTATGCATCTGCATGGCGCCAGAGCAAGGTATAGTGTGTTGCAACATAACGTGTCCTAAAATCCTTATATTATGCGACTGGTCCGCAAAGTGTTACGTGTGTAAATTAGCAATAGTGTTATAAATACTCATAGTTACGAGTTATAAGTGTCCAATAAATCCAGTCCGAACCCTGTGTATAGTTACTAAAATCTGACAATTTGATCAGTGTGTTGCCAGGCAACAGCTCTGTAAACATGGTCCAACATGCAACAATAGATAAGGCAGTGTTTTCTATGTTGTTTGCGCTGAGCAGCAATGGAACAACAGGGTTATGCAACCTGTTTCTTATCAAGAGCTCAGTTAACGCATTTCCATGTATTGGACCATGCTATGAAAGCAGTGATGTCATCAACAATAGAGATGGTGTTTTCTGTGGGGTCTGCACAAAATGATATAATTTGTTCAGGGCAGTTATGAGTCAGTCATAAGCTGGAGGAGTAAGTCCAGAAGAATTTTTTGTTCCAAAGGTCCAGAGTGAATGAAGATGAAATAGCAAGAAGCCTTCATAGTGAATTGAAGTGATAGTGTCTGTTTTGAGATCCATTGCCAGGAGATGACTAGTGAAGACGGACGATCATAGTGTGTGTGCAACAGTGAACTGGAAGTGTGTAAATCATCAATAGTACTGAATTTAAGTATGATTAAGATAACTTGTGAGCATGGTGCTAATAAATCCAACCATCTGAACTAGAACCTGTTATTTTCGTCATGCTTACCCCATACACGTGACTATATATATTCAGAAAGGATAATAAACAGAAGCTATTTGGAGTAATGTAGACAGCAAGTTGTGCCAAAACAACCATGAGATGGAATTGTAAATCACACATTCTGCAGTTGTTCCTAAAGGAGCCATTGGATGCTACAACTACCATAAAAGTGTAATGAAATCAAGGAAGTTAAATTGTTTTCTATATCCAACAACAGCCACTCATTTCTGTATTAGTTACACGAAATAGCCAATGTGTAGAAGCATTTTAACTGACTATCTGGAATGCACCCTTTCAGATTTCATGAAATGTCTTCCCATGAAAGATGGTACTTGTTAGTATATGACAGTGATAAAGGGTAGCAGTCATTTTTTACACATCGGAAGACTATTTTTTTACCTATGTAGTGAACCAAAATGACTACAATAGCTCTGAAACTTGTCGCAGCATATAAATTAAATTTAACATTGCATGCTGTGAGTTAACACATCAGTGGGCAGCATAAAACTTGCATGGTCTGATTAACATACTAGATGCTCTGCGTTTGAAGGGTTAATGTTTGTAGAAATAAATGATTCCTGGACATACCATTATCCAGAAATGTTCACATAATTATTTAGTGTAACTTTCCAACTCATGCAAGTCATTCTCATGATCCACAACATGAAAACCACTGGCCAGAAAGTACCCTGCTTCTTTAGCTGTTCTGAGATTAATGTACAGGACTTAAGACCTTGAAGTCTTCTTCAAATAGGACCCTTGCAGCTGCATTTAAATGACAGCAAGTCTGTGCTGGTGCAGTGTTATTTTTAGATCTTCTGTATTGTATATTAATAAAGTTTATTCTTGGTCAAAGAAGTATACATAAGTACATATGGCTGTCACCTGTTAATGAGAATATGAAATACAAGGGCACTCTAAGAGAGAACTTAGAGGCAAGGTATTACGGTTTGTATAGAGTGGCTGACCACTTTAAGGCAGTTTCAATTGGTGATGAGTTGAAGTAAGCTCAAGCAAACTTTTCGTCTCTAGTGCTCGTATGCACAGAAGTTAAATTTTAAGCCCAGCCAGTTTTATGTCACTTTAATTGACACTAGTAAGGAGGTTGGCCTAGACGTAAACGCAGAGAAAACTAAGTATCTGTTGCTTTCTCATCACCAAAATGCAGGGAAACATCATGATGTGAAGATAGTTAACATATTTTGAAAATGTGACAGTTCAGATATTCGGGATCAACAATAACAGATCGAAACCTGATTCAGGAGGAAATTATCAGGAGATTGAACTCGGGTAATGCTTGCTACCATTCAGTCCAGAACCTTTTGTCTTGTCTACTGTCCTAAAACAAAAATTAGAATATACAAAACTATAATTTTGCCTGGGGTTCTGTATGGGTGTGAAACTTCTCTGACATCAAAGGAGGAGCATAAACTGAGGGTGTTCGAAAACAGGGTGTTGAGAATATTTGGACGGAAGTGAGATGAAGTGACAGGTGGATGGAGAAAACTGCATAACGAGCACCTTCATAACTCATACTCTTCTCCAAGCATAATTAGAACGATGGAAGTCGAGGGTGAGATGGGCAGGGCATGTAGCACGAATGGGGGAGAATAATGCATATAGGATATTGGTGGGCAAGCCAGAAAGAAAGAGACTACTGGGAAGACCAAGGTATAGGTAGGTGGACAGTATTAAAATGGATGGAATGGTATGGATTGGATTGATCAGGGTCAGGGACCAGTGGAGGGCTCTTGTGAACACGGTACTGAACCTTCAGGTTCCATAAAATGTTGGGAAGGTCCTGAGTAGCTACACAATTGGCGCCCCCTCAAGAAAAGCTCAGCTCCACGAGTGAGTGGGTGATCAGTTTTATATGTTTCTAGAGGAAATGTCATGCAGGCGTTACGACAAGAAAAAGTGCGAAGATCAGAAGCTACAAAATGCAGCGACCATCGCACAATAAGCCTTATTGCACATGCAGCAAAGATACCTAAAAGAAGAATCGAAAGGAAAATAGAGGATATACTTGAAGAGGATGACTTTGGATTTAGAAGAGGAAAAGGAACCAGGGATGAAATTGGGATGATGAGAATTACAGCAGAACAAACTTTGGAGGTAGAGGAAGAACTGTGTGCTTGCTTTATAGACTGGCAGAAGGCATTTGACCGTGTAAATTGGACCAAATTAATGCAGATCCTAAAGGAAACGAGTATCGATTGGCGGGAAAGAAGATTGATTAGTAAATTGTACATGGATCAGAAAGTTAGAGTGTGACTGGACAGAGGGAAGACAAGAAGTGTGAAGATTGGAAAAGGAGTTCGACAAGGATGCTGTTTATCACCAATTTTGTTCAACTTGTACAGCGAATGCATTACCAAGGAAGCTCTGGATGGGCTTGGAGACTTCAAATTAGGAGGGCAAATTATTCAAACTGTGAAATATGCAGATGACCTTGTGTTAATGGCTAAGGAAGAAACTGTGTTACAGGGTATGATTGATAGACTTGGTGCTGTGGAAGGTGGAAGGTGCTGTGGCATGGAAATGAATGTGAAAAAAACAAAAGTAATGAAAATTTCGAGACAACCAACCCTGGTCACAATAAAGATAGAACAAAAACAACTGGAGAATGTGAAATGTTTTAAATATTTAGGTAGCTTGTTAACAGATGATGGAAGGTGTACTTGTGAAATTAAATCCAGGATTGCCATGGCAAAAGCTGCATTTAGCAAGAAGAAGAATCTTTTTACCAGCAAATTGGACTTAAATTTGAGGAAGAAACTAGTGAAATGCTACATTTGGAGCATTGCTTTGTATGGGGCTGAAACTTGGACACTTAGGGCAGTAGATCAGAAACACCTGGAAAGCTTCGAAATGTGGTGTTGGAGAAGATCAGTTGGACCGATTATGTGAGAAATGAAGAAGTGTTATTTAGAGTCAGTAAGCAGAGGAATATCCTACACGAAATAAGAAAATGGAAGGCTAATTGGATTGGTCATATCTTACGCGGAAACTGCCTTCTAAAAGAAGTTATTGAAGGAAAGATAGAGGGGCAGATAGAAGTGACCAGAAGACATAAGAAGATGCTGGATGACCTTGGGGACAGAAGAGGATACTGTCATTTGAAGGAGAAAGCTCTAGATCGCATTAAGTGGAGGAACTGTTTTGGAAGAGACTGTGGACCTGTCGTCTTTACGGATTACTGATGAATGAATGAATTTTTGCTGTCTCAGTATAATTAAATCAGCATGACTGAAGGATTGTGCTTTAAAATGTGGGTTCAATGCCTCCTGATAATGGCCTATTCGATCTTTTTGACACTTGTAAATGCAGGCAATAGTACAGAATTCATTTGTGTATTCTTATGATAGTTTGATCTTGAGAGGATACAGTAAGTAGCCTATAAATGGAACCACAGTTTAAAGTGGGCTTTGAGCTGGTATGGGCAGGGCATTTGTCTCATTCTCAGAATGTTAGCTTTTGTGTAAGTTGTAACGGTTTTGGCCTGTGAGTAGAAATATCGTGTTTGAGATGAGACTCTGAGCCTTCTGCATGCGAACCCAGAGACTCCCCAGTGCCTGTGTTTTAAAGTCATTGTTTGGGGTTAAATTACAATGTCTGATAATGAAATGTTTTGTGTGTTGTGTAGGTGAAGAAACAAGAGATAATGATTTCACAGGTAACTCAGGCGCTTAATTTCTGCTATTCAACTATCGAGTTCTCAGGTTCAGCAGAGCAGGTTGAAAGAGAAAGATTGCTACTTGTTGCAAGTAAGTATCATATTTTCGTCCTATCCCATTTGAGGGAATAATTGTTATTGAACAGGTGCTTTACTGACGGATACCTGGGAGTAACTAACCCTTTCATGCCAATAAATTTACTGAACCACTGGGGCAGTTTCTGCTAGTGCTGACTATGATCTAGAGTTGGAAGGAATTCCATCAGCATGTGAGTGTGTTTGTGTGATATCATATGCATTGTCTCTTGCTGTATCTGTAACCGTCAGCCTCATTGATGCTGTTGTACAGGCACTAATGTGGCATAAATGGTGTTCTTTATGGCAACAGTGCTGAGTAGAATATTTGGACCGAAGAGAGATGAAGTGACAGGAAGTTGGAGAAAACTAAACGTTGTCTCTGCAGTTTCATTTTCAATTTGGGAAGCAAAGCGAAATCACAGGGGGTTAAGCCCAGCGAGTAGGGAGGATGGTAAATGATAACCATATTGTTGTTAGTCACAAACTCTGTGGTTTTCAGGGATGTGTGGGTGGGCGCATTTTCATGATGGAGGAACGAGATGCATGTTCAAATTTTCTGTTAAGATCTCCTGGCAAACTCCATAACTGATCCAAATGGTGTCTGCAAGCTCATGGATTGTTCAGCAACGGTCTTTGTGATAAGTTCTTGAATGTTTTCAACATTTTCTGTCGTTTTGCTGGTACTTGGTCTCCCTGAACTTTCATCATTCTCAACTGACACTCGACTGGCCTTGAAATGTGAATGTCATTGAAAAAAACCACTGTCCGGCTTAAAGAATGTTCTCCAGATGACTCATGAAGCATTTCAAGGGTTTCAGTAGCAGATTTACTGAGCTTCACACAAAACTTGATGGAGACGTGTTGCTTGATTTTGCCATCCATCACCAACAGAATGAAACACAATGTTGAAAAACACTCATATAAAAACAGTGCATTGTCACATGGCAGACTGATGCAATAGGCTTTCGGAAGTGTGACCTTGGCCTCCCCTCTCATCTTTCACTGATGTAGTTACAACAATAACAGTCCAGGAACCTCCCAATACCATCTTGTATGTAGATACAGCTGATGGCACTATAAAATCTTTCAAGCTAGCTATACCCAGTGACCCAGATGATCATGCTTGGAAAGCCTAGTTTACTAGTCTGCCGGCTGATGAGAGGGGTAAGTAAGATTAACCCAAAACAGGCAGATTTGACTTGACAGTCATGTAAAATGAAGCACTTTAAGGCTTATATGTCAGTGGCAGTGCCTATGCTGACTTATGCAAGTGGAAACTACATAATAAATAGAGTGGAGAAAAACAAAATCGAGTTAGCTGAAATGAGCTTTCTGTGTCCAGCAGCTGGACACACTGTCCTGGATCAAACACAAAGGACAAACATCCTTTAGAATTAAAAATATCAAATTTAAACAAGAGAAAAGTCAGAAAGAAACTTATATGAACATATTTTCTGAATAGCAACAGTAGACCCCCAAAAATGTTACTGAATTATAAACCCAGAGGACATTGAAATATCAGATGATATAGCTAGATGGGAGAACATATTCTTTTGAAGTTGGAATCAGACCAGTGGCACATACCCTTGAATAATAATAATGATAAGGGGGGAGTAATTTTATGTTGTCAACAGTTAGGTTATGTACTGTCAAATTGTATTTAGATAGATGAATGTTGAATTGGGATGGATTTGGAAGGAAGCTGTGGCCTAATTGAGGTACTACCTCATCAGTTGTGAGGGACTGATGGAAGGTACAAAACACTTCAGTGAGGATAGCTGGTGTCCCAGCCGAGATATGTACTGAGCAACATATTGCAATGAAAATTAACAGTGAGTATCATCATGTTACTTGATGTTATTTAATTTACATATATATATATATATATATATATATATATATCCAATTACCAATGGAAATCCCGTCACACACATTGCAACTGGTGTCAGAAGTGGAGACTACAG